TATTGCAAAATATTTTTTTTTCAATAAATATTTGTTATGAAGATAGCGTATGAGAAATTCCATGAATTTAAATAACTGACATAAATACATTCCAGCAAACAACGTCCAATGTTAGGATTTGTTTGTCTGGGTGAGAACAAAAAGCCATTAAAAATGAATTTTATCCCAGAATAAACGTGTAATGAAAATAAAGATATGGTTAACCAAAGAAAGTAATTGAGTGAAGAGTTTGAACGTCAAAGAGATGCAGACAGGCAGAGTTTTGAAAGCCCTGTGCAAAATTTTAATTGAGAACCTCACATATTCTAATATGAAAGTACTAAAACAAATCATTTGCCATAGCTTAATGTCATAAAACAAGTTTTTTATATCTAAAAATTAATCATCAATTAGCATGCAATAGCAATCACAAATCAAATTCAAAAAAGTTTTAATGTTTCTAAAGTTAAATATTTTAGGTACAAAAATAAGCTCCTTAGGCTGCCATAAGCTCCCTCACTACCTCTAATATAACCAATCTTGAGATTGAGTCAATTGCTCAATGTTTTTTCATAGTCGTTTTGTATATCCAAAATCGTATCTCCTAGATGGCGGCATGTTTAGATTGCAAAGAAAAATTCCAAAACCCTATAATCTAAAAGAAAAACCCAACAAGAAATTAGATAAATATTTTTAACAACTAGATTTCCTTATTTAAAAATAAAAAATAAATTTGAACAAGTTATATAGTGCTTGTTACTAGATAACCAATCATCAACTACCTAGATTTGAATTGAGATGTCAATTTAATATTTGATTTAGAGTGGTTTTTATGAATTTAGGAATTAGGGTTTTTTGCTTTTTAGTGTTAATCTTTTTTATTTTTAAATTTAAATTGAATTTTCAACTTTTTTAGATTTATTATTATTATTTAAAGTTGGATGCTATGTCATATAATCTATATATCCATATATATAAAGCAAAAGACAGAGAATTGTGAAACATTCAAAATACCAGAAAATACCATTGGTTAAATTCTAAAGGGGATGTGGATTTCTCACACAAAAATTATTTAAGAATTTGAATATAGAACTTCTGGTCGGCAAGTCAAGGCACTTTTCCATTAAACTAGACCGCGTTAGTTCAATAATTGATACTTAAGTACATATAAAAATGTACCGATACCTTACCTAGTGCTGAAACTCCGAATCATTCCTAAACATTATCTACGAATTTAATTTGTCTTATTACCCTACGAATTTCACAAACAATTTTACGAAATTTTCTTGGCTATTTTTACCCAACGGTTTGAGGATAACCCTGTTGGGTTTTATCCTCTAGTTAAGAATTGTTCGGCCTTTGCGTGGGGTGCAGGCCCAACAAGTGCTCTGCCATGTGACAAACAAAAAAGAACAGGTTCAGGAAACTGGGAAGGCCCAACAAGTGCTGTTCAAATCAACGTCTTTTTCAACATGCCCAACAATGTCATCCGTTCCAGAATATTTTTATAAGAAATCCTAGATTAGGTGAGTTTGATTAGGATTTTTGCAATTAAAATTACAATTAGAATCTGAAGTAATAGAAACACTTTACCCTCAATGGAGATGCTTGGTCCCCAATTCGAAGCAATTATAGTGTGGTTTTCAGCAGTTTTAAGTGACGAAACGTGACATAAAATTGATAAGAATCGTTTACACTTCGAAAGTTTCGAACAAGTAATGAAGGCAAGGCATGGAAGAACAAACCCAGATGACATAACCTCAACAAACCAAACCTAAATCGATGCGGAGCACTCGCTATCCGATTTTCGAACAATACGATGAGAATAGCAATTACTATACGAAAATGCTAACAGAATATTGAGTACAGAAACAAGAAGAAACCAAGAACCATTGGGTCCAATTGCCATTCTCATCCTTATAATATGAAGGTTTATTACACTGATCACCAGAAGCTTGTCGATGCGATTAGACTCTGTGTGGCTTTTATTCATATAATAGTAGTAGTTGAAAAACAATGACAAATAATTACAATATCTTATAAGGGTAAGGGTATTTCCATTTTCCATGAAGAATGCAGCATTGCTAATTGCAAATGCTTGCTTGTTTCAGGTTTTTGATATCAGGGGATTGCACATTAGAAATGGTCATAAGTTCAGAGACATACTTCTCATCCCCATCCCCATTTGCCACCAGAACCCTGTCCCGAGGCACGAAACTCAGATCAAGAACCTGGTCTGGTACAGGGTAAGAAATTGCAATAAGCAACTCCCTGGCCAGCTCATCAGAAACCTCCTTGCATGCTCCTCTGCTATCCATAAAATGTTGAATCTTTCCTGCATTTCAAATTGTGATATTGGTCAACTCCATAATTGTTGTCACTCTTTTTAATTTCTATATAGCCAACTCTTTCGAGCCTAATATCACCCAAATCAATTCAAATGTTATTCAGTTTATGTATAACGGCTCGTTTGGGACTGCTTCTCCTCGTTATTGCTTTTCTACAAGTGCTTCTATTAGAACTGAAAATTCTTATTACAAAAATCCAAATGTTTCCTAGAAAAGCACTCGAAAGTGATTCCTGAAAAAGCACCTGACGATTTTTGTGACTAAGAAGCACTCCTAAACAGACCCTAAAGCATAACCCAAGTTTGAGGATCCATTTACAGTGATTTCTCCACGGCCATTACAAAAACACTATTCACGAAAACTCAACTTTCTTGATTTCTTCCCCACCCAACATTAAAGAAAAAGAATAATTCCTTCGATAAATATTTAATGGTCTAATTACCCCTAAGAAATTTAATAAGGGATGCTTGCGGAAAAATTGAACACATCAAGATCTTCTATGAGATATGAAAATGCAGTTCCAGAGATTTCATGAAATAACGAATAAATTACCAAATTTAACCAATTATGATAAGATTTAAACCTCAATTAGCTGTTTCTTTTTCCTAACACAGATTATCTTCTCTAATTCTCTAGTTTTATTCCCAAATCATGGATCTACAAACCCCATAAACAAATAAAAGGGAGAGCAATCAGGTTGCTCGAACATGGGAATGATAAATTTTCATTTTCTGGGGAACCAAACAAAAGCTAAGGTCTGATGAACAAAAATGAATTAAGAGAAAAGAAAATTCATAAGAAAATAAATTAGAATAAACTAATTGGATAATCGCCGTCTTACCTCTGGCTGCCGTGCGTCTATCTGACTCTATCTTTCTATATCTCTCTATCTCTATCTCTGCAAATTTATATTAGTTTATATTTTTTTTATTGGCTAAAAATACGATTTTGCCACTATTATTGAGAGGAAATTTACGGACTACATTCAATGTCCTCGAAATGACAGCGAAACTCTTTCTGGAAATAGATTCATTAACAGAATCTACGTAACCTACGGAACAGATTCGTTAACAGAATTCACGGAACGGATTCATTAACAGAATTCACGGAACATAGTAAGATGAGACACGTAATTAAAATAAATAAAGTGAAGTGAAAAAAAATAGTTAGGGACTTGTAACTTAAGAGGATACGAAACGAATAAGGTGAGATTCATAATTAAAATAAAGTGAAAAAAGTATAGTGAGGGGTTTGGAACTTAAGAGTACTTATTCTACACCCGAAATCTTAGATTCGATTTCCCCTCCCGCAATATTACTTGTATTTAGGGGCAAAGTCACTAAAGAGACCATAGAGTGGTCTCTTGCCCCTCCCCCCTCCCTTTATCCTAAAATAAATAATATATTAAGTTCATTTTGTCTATAAATTAACCATGTACTTCTTAATTTCTCTTCTAGTTTTATTCCTCAAATCTTCTAAATTAGTTTATGATATTTGGACTAAAACCTTATAAATTTTTAAACTCTTTTTCTCTTTTGTCGTTTCCTTCATTTTGTTCTCTGCCAACAAAAATTCATAAAATGTGTCTACTCCCTATTGAGAATGAGTGAATTAACTAAAGCTTTGTGATTTTTGTTTTTTTTGTTTCCCTCCCTTTTTTTTTTAATCTGAGTTGGGCACTTTAATATTGAGATTTAAGAACATTATTTGTATTTCCTCTCTGTTAGAATATAAATTATAAACTTCTAAGTTTTTAATAATGTGGATGTTTGAGATTATTACTTATGAAATTGAAGACAACTATGATTGTAATGAATAAATGTATTATCAATCAATATGAGATGACATTATGAAGTAGGATAAAACGGGTATTGTACCAAGAAGAAATAAAAATGAAAAAAATGATATAGGCAAATGAATAATTAAGTGTTTTTATTATTATATTTTTTTACTAGTTTAAAAATATAGTTTTTACCAACTATATGTTAGTGTGACAGTACTTCTCTTAATGTTGGAAGAGGTCTAAAGCTCAGATCCCCCTACCAAGCTAACAAAGTTTTCAGGGATGAAATTAACTAAATCGATAACTTTATTTTCTTCCTTGATTGAGTCGTTAGTTAAAGATTCTGACTACATGTTTGTTTTTCCTTCTTTGAATTTAGAAATAAAAAACTTCTCAATTACCCTTGTGCTTTTTGGTCAATCATATTACCATGGATTTGTTTCATGGTTTCAATTTATTTTGCTTCTGTTTCTTTTTATTTTTCAAACAAAGTAGAATGTATGTTAATATATATGCACCCAAACTTGCACATGTAACTCGGGAGATTCTCCAATAAGTATTTTATGTTAAGGACTTATTACATACTTCTAATCTTAGCCGTTGATTATATTCATTAAATGTGTTGGTAGTCTCTTAGATGCAATCCAACGGCCAAGATTAAAAGTATTTAACCAATCCTTAACTTAAATACTCATTGGAGAATGTCTCAACTCACGATTCCGGTCGAAACTTCTCAATAAAGGCAACATTGTTATGAAATGCCAAATCCAGTAAAGTTTTGGTCAATATTGATGTGTTCTGCACATTCCCAAATCAACAAGAATGTGGGTTTTTCTCTCAAGTAAGAGGCAATATGCACTAAATTAAATGTTATATATATAAATAACTCATTTCTATCGGAAATGCATTATATAAAGTTAAAAACAAACACTTGTAACAATAGTTAACATAGCATCTGCAAAGATACCTAAACAACTCTATCAACCACATTTCACATTCACCTAGCACTTCACTACCTATTCTATCCAGTTTCCCCCAAGCCGAGTAAACGAAATCAGACAGACCTACAGATTTTCAAGTGTACAAGTTTAGCTACGCCATGTGTTGTGCCGGTTTGCTTCAAAGGCTGCTCCATCATTAAGCATGTCCCGAGCATCAGTCTCCATTCCAAGCTTTGAGAGTGCCAGAGCTTGCAAGTAGAATGCAGTTGGCCACTCTGGTATACACACCTGTGCCTGCATTGCATCTCTTAAAGCAAGTTCTGCTTGGCCGTTCATCAAGTAGGAGAAGGCTCTTCTCGCAAAGACAGTTGCTGAAGGGCCGGACATCATAGCGACTAACTGTTTATTGCATAGAAAAGGTATCCTTGAATAATTGCGTATCCAAAATAAATAATCAACACTCTTCTTTTTATAGTGGTTTAGGAATTCAGGATTTTTCTCTTTTTTAGTCTACGGTCGGTTCCAAATAATTAGGCTGAGTAACACAATGTTTATCTGCTTAGTGTGAATTAACCAACCTGGTACCCGTGCAATGTGCAACGTGCACATTTAAATTGTGGCACTATGATTTTAAAAGCCCTTGCATAGCAAAAAGAATATTGAACTAATTTGTCACATAATATCATCCATTCTTAAGATAAAATTCGGTAGAAGGAGAGGGAGAGTGCATGTACCTTGGAATAATACTCAATTGCATTCTTGAAATCCTTGTCCCTAAATGCAATATCCCCAAATTTCTTCGTGTTCAACATATCTTGGACTTGTTGTGTCCATTCTTGGAATGAGAGCTGAAAAAACAGATCACATTGTGAGAGAACTATACTAAAGTCTAATTCTTGAGCCCATGAACATGAGATAAGGTCAATCATGGAAAAGAAGCATCGACCACAGTTTGCCAAATATGTATATGCATAAATAAATAATTAAAAAAAAGAGATGATATGCCTTATTGTACAATGCAACCAAATAGAGATTACATCCAGATACAATTATGTACATGTCACAAGAGACAACCATGACACCCGCACAACATCAACAAGCAAACAGGGTAAATTCCCAGAGTAGAAAAAATAGAATAGGGAGAACAAATCTCTAGTGAACAGCAGTGTAGCTCATTCCTCTTATATGACATACAACCATTTTGTACAAACCTTTTTTTCCCTCTATTATGTACTTTACACATGGGAAAAAATACGACAAGTTTCGAACAAATCTGCAGCATTTGACGTATGCCAAAGCAGGTTGGATTCTCATGTCTGCAATTAGCATGCTTTCCAGATTGGGGAGCATTCAAGCTACTCGTTTCGAATCAATGACACATAAAGAGAAAAATACTAAAACCTAGAGGAAATTCAAATTCTAAGGACTAAATTAATATACTAAACAACAAACCTATTTGCAAAATTGGGAAAACCCATGCATTACAATTTAAGGTCTATTTATCTAAATAATGTTGTGTATAGATTATTTAAGAACTCTGTTTCTAACCGTCGAGTCATAAGTGCACGTATAATAGGCAATTCAGCGTACCTCATTTTCTGCACCTTCTTCATCTTTATAGCCTGTTTTTAGCAAAATATCATGCACAGCAGTAAGATCCATCCTTGCACAAGCCTTTCCAAGAGGAGAAAGCATGGTTGGAACCACAACAGTATTTCTAGGAAGGCCCATTAGAACATGAGATGCCGCCTTAATAAACAAACCATATAAGCAATCAGAACAAATCAGGACGGAAAAAAGAATATGTTATCACCTCTTTCTGAGGATAAACAAAGAAATAGCAATTTCATGATCTGAGGATAACACGATATATCACCTCTTTCTGCTTTTGAAGTGGTGCAACGACTGTAAGAAGAAACTTAATATCTCCTCTGTCCCTAGCCTCAGACTGAAGACATTTGGAAGCAAGTTCAACCAATTTAGTAGCATCATCATTCACATACTGCCCTTCCAATGATGAATCCATCAACAACAATACATTCTTTTCCCTTATCAAGTCCAGTGCCTGGAGATACAATAATCACTTAAACAATTTTTGTATCTTCAAATGTAATCTCACATCAATTAATTAAGCTAAACAGAACCATTTCCCAACTTTGCATACCCAAAAGACCTTGAAATTAATGCAAATTGAGCTGAGGAAGAATCACAAACGAAGGCAAAATACTGAACCTAAAAGTAGTGGTTTCAAGTAGACTTACTGAACATAAACTGTTTGTAAAGTCAAATTCTCACTTTCTTGTTGAATTTAAGACGTCAATGATACCAAACATATCAAAATTATAAACCAAGTGTACAACCAAGATACATACTGAATACAGTGAAAACAAACATTCGAAAAACATTAAAGTTTTACAGAATGCTAATGAAACAAGCAGAAGGATCCTAAAACATTATGTAAGAAGCTACATTTGGAATCCTGAGATCATCACCAAAAAAATATTTGCAGAACGGCAGTACAGAATCTACAGCCTATGCAGTAGAAATGTCAACAGATTTACAGAAGAAATAAAAAATTTCCTGAAAATCACACGAGGAGTACAATGTAAAGGTTCATGGGAGGTAAGTCCACGTACATGGCTTGGAGGAATATGCTTGCCACTCAAAAGGTCCAACAGGACAGTTCCATAACTGTAGATTACACTCTCTGGAATGACCCTGCCTGCAAAGTTTTACACTAATCAAATACGCTGAAAACCAGTTTTCATATCTCCAATGATATTAAGTTATCAACCAAATCTGGCTAAACTATAACACCACCATGGGACGATACTGAGACACTAACTTGATGCTCATATATCAGGACTTGTAAACAAGAAAAATGCTTCCAAGAGTTATGTACTATTCCATTAATCCGTACTTCGAAAAGAACATAACACACTCAAAGTTGGTGTGCATTGATGCACAAAAATTATTATGTTTCTTAGTCCAGCATAATTCTCTGTAATATGAGTGAAAAATCTTGCAATCTAAGCATGATAATTTATCACATGATATCCAAGCAGCCTGACTATGAGAAGATCTAATCAATGTAGAGTGTTTTTGTAACCACTTTATAATATGAAGGGTTTATTTTTTGTTTTTTGTTTTTAAATTTTGTTACCTGAACTTCTGTTTGTGTCCCAATTCAATATCAACAGCATAGTTTGTCCCTGTTTAGTATGCAAGTTAGTTTTGCATCTAACAAGTACCAAAACAAACTTCTGTTAGAATGACAAACATATCTCAAGGGCAATTTGTTTCTTTATGGAAGCAAAATTGTGTGTGGAGGCTTAAGTGTGGGTAGGGCCTCCGTGAAGTGACAAACTTTCCCCTGAGATCTGTTAATCATTCTAATGGAAGTTTGATTTCTTTCTTATTGGAAAAGAAATTAATTTAGGTACTAAATTGGGACAAATTATAATTCAGGTGCCGAAACGCAACATGGGCCAAAGTTCACTTACCAAAAATAGAAAAGAAAACCCTTTTTGCTCTACCTTCATTACAATATTTTGCTATTTTGATATGATGCAAAAGATAACCTACAAAAGCTTTTTTTGTCATGCGTAGGACTTTTTGTTAAGTAATTTACCTGTACGTAGAAACTCAGGTGGAGTATAAGCTAAATTTGTACTGTAGCTTTTTCCATCTCGACTATTTTTCATAAGGCCAAAGGTAGACAAACAAGGGTCACCATCCTGACACAAGTTCATAAGTCAGTTATAATCTAATCACAAAAATTTTACAGAACCTTGTAGTATGATTTATAGAATATGTCCAAACCTAAAACATGTCCACTAAAGTGATACTCATTTGTATTTATATACAAAGGAAAAGGACTAGCAGTCAGTCATTTCAGAAAGACTATACAGGAACACCCCACCTTATATGGTATACAATTCAACACAATGCTTTAATATGATTTCCAATATGGCATAAATGAATTGCACAACAAAATGTGGATAAATTGATAAATATAGTGTATTGATTTGAGTTCTGGGAATGTGGACACCTCAACCATTTATGGATAAAGCTATATTTGGCAAAGTTAGCAAACAGTGCAGTTAAGTTTACCAAGATGAGTGATAAACTAAATAGCCACCAAAGCAGAAAATCATGGCAAAAATTGAACGATTTTTCAGATCGGCAAGTAGCAACATATGCATACGACAACAACCAAGATGAACTTCGACATGTAAACCCAAATGTCTACTGCATCCAATTGGAATAATCTGAAGCATAGGAATGACAGTTGTAAACCCCCGAACAAAAACTGTACTCTTTGTCACACAATCATACGCATACCTCATCAAAAAGAACTCTGTATGCATTTAAATCATGATAGATCTTCCGGTTCTCAATATTACAATGATCCAGTGCCTGTGCAATATAGTATGCAACTCTAACACGCATTTCCCATGGCAATGGCTTCTTGTCCCCTATAAGAAACCATAAGTAGTCGTTAAGCAAAGAAAAAATAACCCTGCCTGTGCAACATAGTTTTTGGAGCATGTATATCACGAAAAAGTGACAAGTATGAAGTGATAAATATACACAGGAAGCATCAACAATTTTAATTGCACTAAGCAAACAGTAAACTAAAATTAAGGGGTTTTCCTAACAGATTAGACTCGGGAAACGGTATATGTCCTAATAAGCTTTGTTCTTTTGGACTTTAAATGATGGTAGTCCACCTAACCTTTTAATTGTACACATTTCATCAGAAAAAGGGACGTAGGAGAGGAGTTTATCTTAAAGGTACACAAAAAGTGTTGGAGAAAAGCAAAAGTTAATCCTAGTGCACAAAACGTGTTGGAAAAAGCAAACAGGAAAAGGATGGTTAATTACAAAGTCAATAGTATGCACCAAAAGAAATATAAAAGAAACAAGAAGGGATTGGCTGGCAGTACAATGAAAGAGATGCTTGGAAAGAGTATCATTGGGCATATACTCAGCCACCAAGAGCCGTTCATCTCCCTCAGCACAGCAACCAACCAGATTCACTAATCTCTTGTGCCTCAACTTCCCCACTCCCACAGCCTCAACCTGCTCAATCATATTCATTAACATCAAACTCAATTCCTCAACAATGCCAAACGCTCCTCCATCGAAGGAAAAATTATTAAACAAATATAAAAATTAACTATCCTGCTAAATTGTTGAAAAATCCAAGACCCAACATTTTACATTTCCTTTTTGTCTTCCATTTTTCTCAGCATCACCAGATAAATCAGCAGCCCCAAATGAAAACCCCAGAAGAAAAACAAGCATTATAAATACTCTGTTAGAATTTTTTTTAAAGTATAAGAATGCTCACTTCTATGAAGCCGAAAGAAAAATCTATTATGTTTGTCAATGCTCCAAACCCAAAGGATTTCTTACATTTCTATCATCTTCTTTAGCAACCAAACAAGACATACACAGAATATGCATTTTTTATTATTTATTATTTCCCAATAGCTACTTTCCTTTTCCATCATTTTCTCAGGAATCAAAACTCACCACAAACTGTTGGGCGTCGGGCCAAGACTGCTTGGAGAAGCGTTTAACAGCGACAAGGCGATTGTTATCAAGTTTTCCTCTGTAAACGACATTGGGAGCTTTTTCACCACTCTCGGAAACAATGCATTCGGAGCTGAACCCATTGGTGGCCTTTCGTAGCTCGTCTAGACTGTACTCTTTGAACATAGGGGCTTGGGCCTCTAGCTCAGCTTGATCTCCATTAGCTTCAAAGCAAAACCCAAAAAAAAAAAAAAAAAAAAAAACCAAAAAAAAAAAAAAA